TAAAATTTTGAGAAAATAGCAATTGTTTTTAAGAGAAGTTTGGTACAAGTGATCGTCGGGAAGAGTTAGTGATTTGCGTCGTAATAATATAATTATATTTTATAATAATTTTATTATAATTATTAAATTATTATATTATAATTCTATAATTATTGTATAATTATTTTATTATTATTTTATTATTATATTATGATTATTATATAATTATTATATGATTATTACTAAAAAATTATTATAAGATTAAATTATAATAATAATATAATTATCAAATTATTATTTTATAATTATTATATAAGTTTATTATATGATTAAAACATATTATTATTTTTTAATTATTAAATGATGATTAAACAATTACTAAATGATTATTAAATAATTGTTAAATAATTATTAAACAATTATTAAATAATTATTAAATGATTATTAAATGATTATTAAACAATTATTAAATGATTATTAAATGATTATTAAATGATTATTTTTGTTAATTTAAGTTTTTTAAATTTTTTTTAAAATTACTTTGATATTATATCTAGAATTGTTGTATACAATAGTAATAAAAAAATAGCAATTATAAGATTTATATAATTATAATTAATAATAGATATGCTGAGAAAAGGGACGAAATTGACAAAAAAAAGAACTTTGAAAATTAATTTTATGTTGTAAATCTTATAATAAGTCATAAGAAAATACTAACTTTAAAGAGCTATACTACAAAATTTTATTAATACAATAACTTTTGTGTTTAAGTGAAAAATGATTCTAATTCTATTCTAAATTGATTTATGTAAAACAATATCCTTTGAAAAATGATCAATTTTGTCTCTTTTTTCAGCACCTAGCCCATATGATCTTTTTTTAAAATTTTGTATTTAGTTGTTAAAGTAATAAATATTTTAGAACTAATATATATTGGAATATAAACTACTCTAATAATTAACAAACTTTTGCTTAAATTCTAATATAATCTAAATCTTGTAATTACAAAATCAATTTATATAGTTTGTGATCTCTATTTATTAACATCTGATTAACTGTAGCAACATGAGTCCAAAAGCTAAGTATTATTAATTAAATTATATTCTGGTCTCTTATTTACTATTCTTAGACTTATTTACTAATACACCTTATTTTCTTTATTAGTTGCTCCTGGATTTGAGGTTTCTGAATTTCGGGTTTATTTGTTATGTGATCTTGTGATTTGGTGGTCTCATAGAACCGTGAAATTACAATGAATATATTATTTTTAACAATGGTTTTAATCACAATTGCAATAACCAGTTGATTTTATATAAAAGAGAGTCAAATCCTAATACGATCTCTTATTTTTAGCGAAATAATGATAAGCCTATAAAACTTTTTATCCAAACCTTTCTATTATTTCTCCGTGGCATCTGTAAAAATTCTATGAAAATGATACATTTATGGATATCTGTATTAGGGAGTGAAAATTCCATGATTTAAGGTTATAAATTCCATGAAAATGAAACATTTATGGAAAAACATGGAATAATAACACAGATCAATATTTTTTTATAGAGTAACAGGTCTAATACAAATCATGGGAACAAGAAATTTTGACAAACGAAATTCAATAATGATTTTATAGCAAGCAGAAAACTTAAGGGAACTTCTACTAGCAACCTTACATAGTTTGAACTCTCAGAGAAGTTATTCTTTAGTTAAAGCAAAATTTTAGTGTTTAAATACATTTTTTTTTGTACTAATTTATTTGCGAATTTTTCTGCCATTGCAATCATATCTATCTGATTGGCTTGATATAGTAGATTAACCATATTTGCTGATCATATCATACACCTTTGTATGGCATATGTCAGATATCTAATCATTGAGTTGCATATCATATAGCAAGATCAATTAAAATTTAAACTTCTAACCAGCATATAAGTTATAGTTCTTCATTCTTATAAAATAATATATAAGGTAATTTTAGGTATTATGACTTATTAATAAAAATCTGACAAAAGCTTCGTTTTTTAAATTTATATAGATTTTAACTTGTTTTACAACCACAGTATGAAAAAATTGTGCTTTATAACTTGTAGGGATACGTTTTTTAATTTGTGAGCGAATTTAAATTGACGATCATATTGTTAATACATTTCTGATCTACTTTTTCATTGTACGTTTTGGCGCAAAAATTCGATTTGCTATAAAAAATATCGTTTCTTTGTAATATGTCCAATTCGCCATTTTACCGCATTCGCCATAATACCCACACTCATCTTATATGGGTTGGGTGCTGCAAAAATGAGAAATTGATAAATTTTCAAAAAATACTTTTTTTTTTATATATAAATCAATTTAGAATAATATCAGGATCATCCTTTACTTAAACATAAAAGCAATTGATTAAAAAAAATCTTATAGTATAGCTTTTTGAAATCTGTAGTTTCTTATGATTTATTATAAAATAAAAATTGATTTTCTGAAGTTTTTTTTTTGCACTTAACTTATATATAAATTAGGTTATTTATTAACAAGAAGCATAGTTGTATCTGGACTATTATAGTTAATTTGTTCATAAATAGAAATTTTATTCTTTCATATAAGACTTTTTATGGGTTTTATTTGGATAATTATAAAAAGAATCTCATACAATTGATCTAATGCTGCGAATTTATACTAAGAAAGTTGATTTAATACCTCAAGATTTGTATTATATGAGCTTGATATTATGATTTATTACATATTTACAACAATAATCTTGACAGCTAAATTAACTAAATGCTATCACTTTATACAGGAAATGATCTTAGTACATCGAACCTTTCACGTGTCGGAATATTAAGCGATTAAGTAACAGCATTCATATTTTTGATATCTTCTAAGACTTTTTGGTATGAACTAAATTCCTGTTGGATTTCTTTGTAAGCGTGAATGACATATACTTTAAAAGCTGCTCGAATGAATCTTTTTAATGTATCTCGTGTTATTTCCATGAACTCAGATTCTCGAGCATTTGCAAGATATTTGCTTAAAACCTTTTTTGTAACATCATAGTTGATATATCTTTTAAATCTACGTTCATCAAGAGCATTTAGGTTGCTATTGTTGTGAACAGACAAATGTTAATATATGTTTAAATAGTAATGCTGAAATAATAATAATATTTACCTAGAATTTTTTAAATATTCATTAGCAAGATTCTTGAGGTCTTTATTAAGTGTGTATTGAAATTCACTAAACATTGCTTTAGACTTTTCGAGAAGTTGTTGGAAGTCATCATCAGCAAGCTTAGAACTTGGTAATATCATAGCTACTAGTTGATCGAATGCCGTTTGTGATGGATTCTGAGTTTGAAGAAATAAACATTTCAATTCTTCAAGCCATATTCGAAGCCTTGCCTAAATAAGAAATAATAATCTCGTTAATACTTTTTTTTTTTTTTTTTTGAATACGCCTATTTTTGCTATATTAATTGGGCAGAAATTTTAGGCATTTGAAATAGCTTCATGAATAATATGCATACCTCTAAAGTTGATTCACTGATTGATTGTTTTTCATTATCTTGATTTGATAATGGCGTTAATGGTTCTCTAGTCAGAAGTTCTTTAGGCATATGCTGATTCCAGCTTCTTTGTTTACTTTGATGAATCATATTAGCCGTAGAGAGGATGTCAGGATGATCTGCAACAAATGCTGCAATCTTAAACATCGTTGCATCTTGGCGGAATATATTAAGCGAACTAAAAGCTAAAATCGGAAGGAATAAGAATTGAAGAAACTAATAAATAAAATTATGATGACCCTTACATGAAGTAGATGGATGGTTAGTTGTAGTTAAGAATGTATTTGTCAAGCCTGTAAACTGTTCCTCAAGCAAATTAGAACTTGATTCAATGTCAATATCATAAGTTTGTGAATAAGAAATAGGATCTGTTGTGCGATGGATTTGTTGTTGATTAGAAACATCACTATTAGGTTTCGAATTAACTGCTTGGATACTAATTTCAGAATTTTGTTGACTATAACTTTTGTTAACTTCAGATAAAGTGCCACCAATTTCAGAATTAGGTTGGTCAGAAAGAATTGAAATGTTGTTATCTTCATATAGAGTTCTGCTAATTTCGGGAGTATGCTATCTGGAAAGAATTGGATTAGTACTCAACGTTTTTTGTGAAGAAACAGTTTTGGGTGCATCTTGGCTATCTCAATTTTACGTAAGATTTTTTTTAGTTTCTTTCTTTATATATATATTAAATTGACTTGTTTAATGATACCTTTCGCTATGAATTAAACATTTAGATTTAGGTGCAATGCCCTTAGACTGATTTTAAGTCCTACCTAAAAAATATTTAGTGATATTTTTAAAATAGAAAGCCCAAGTACATTGAACTTTTTTATACCTCGTCCTGCTGTCTTTTTCTCAGAATTTTGTCGGCCAGAACGTTTGCTAACTTTAGATAAATTGCTGCCAGCTTCTAAATTAGGTTGGTCAGAAAGAATCGACATATTATCATCTTTAGATAGAGTTCTACTGATTTCGGTAGTAAGTCGTTTGGAAAGAATTGGATCAGCACCCAATGTTTCTTGTGAAGTAACAGTCTTGGTCGCATCTTGACTATATCGGTTTTAAAAAGGGTTTTTTTAGTTTCTTTCTTTATATATATCTATTAAATTAACTTGTTCGGTGATACCTTTCCCCAAGATTAAGACATTTAGATCTAAGTGCAATACCCTCAGACTGATTTCGAGTTCTACCTAAAAAAATATTTAGTAATATCCTTAAAATAGAAAGCCTAAATATATTGAAAATTTTCTAACCTCATTTTGTTGACTTTTTCTCAATTGCTTTCTTGGTTCCAGTATTCAAACCTTTTCTTGGCATTATAAAATCTGTGTATCAAGTAGTATTATCTGAATAGTTTAATATATTCAATATATCGCTTAAGGCCTTGCTTTTAATTTTTGCTACTACAAAGTACGTATTTTAGTGGGTAAAACATTCAATCAGCTATTAATCACAATTTCTCTTAATAATATATCTTATTGCATATTATTATTGCTCAACTGTATAATATCAATTGATAATACCGGTATATATGTGCTTTATTTTCTGACCAATGAAATATTGAATTTGCATTCTAGTAAATTGTTATCATAGCTATCTATATTGATTATTTATATAGATATATGTAATGTATGGATGCTGTCAAAGAAAACCCTGCTTACCGGGCTCAGTATATCAATTCTTAAGAATGTATCTAGTAAATTATAAATTAAAGGCTTGAAGAGAATTGTTTTTGGTATCATTTATATAAATCACATAGAACTAAGAGCGATTATATTATGAAAGACAAATATAGAAGTGCAGACTTAAGACAAATGTGGAAAATACAACTTTAAAGGCAAATATAGAAAATGCAGATTTATTTTACATTATGATAGACAAATATAGAAAATGTGAGTTTATTTTTGACAGATACATACAATGATGTAATATAACAATGAAAAGTAAATTAAAATAAATAAATAGAGAATTTAATAGTAAGTGATTAAACTTCTTTCTTTCTTGGTTTGAGTACCAAAAGGTCCTTTTTTGTTTCATTTTGTTATATACAGAACAGCATTGCTCAATAAAAAAAAATAAAAAGGTATTAATGTTGATAACAGAAGTGAAATTGTAAAAAATATATTTATCATTGTGAACTACATACATATAAAAGATCAGACAACATATTTGCGATTAAATTATAATGCATAAAATGCAAATATCTATATTACGCACTTGGAACAGAAAACAAAAAAAGAACAATCCACTTTTAAGACTTTGTAAACACCAACACACCAGTGTTGCTGAAGTAGGAGCATGTGATCCAAGTCAAGATTTATTACATGATTCCTTTGCATCTATTACTAGAAACGTTCACCATTATCCAGTATTATATTCGAAGAAACCAATATCTATCCTTCAAATAAAAATGTTAATAGCCAAAATAACTTTCAAAAGAATGATAAACAAGGTGTCTTTCAAGAGAATTATAGTTAAGGTAATTTTCAAGAGAACAATAACCATGACAACTTCCTGACGAATAATAGATGCGATGATTTTTAAAATGATAGTCAAAGTGATTTCCAAAATAATAATCAAAGTGACTTTTAAGAAGATAGTAACCAAAGTGACTTCTAAGAGAATGATAGCCAAGGTGACTTTCAGGAGAGTGACAGTGACTTCCAAGAGTGTGATAGCGATTTCCAAGAGTGTGATAGCAATTTCCAAGAGAGTGATAGCGACTTTCAGGAGAATAATAGCGATAGTTTCTCCTATTACTCAGATCTGCAAGATTCTGAAGAGTTTGGTAGACTAATTGAAGAGGATAAAGAATTTGAGGATGAAATTAGTATAACAGATTTTATATTAGAAAAGTCAACGAGTCGTCTCTTAGGAAGTCTTGAAAACGAATTTAGCTTATATTTTTCGAATTTTACTGAAATGTCTTTTTTTATTTGGGTAACAAAGCATTCTATCTGTAAGTTAAAATATATTTATTGTTTTTTTTTTAATATTTACTTATTTCAATATTTACTTATTTCTTACTAACTTTGTAATCAGCAACCACGGCTTATCAGGAACTTGTAAAAATTATATTATATGATCAGTTTGTTTTTTCTGAAATACTACCAAATATATGCACATTGAAACAATATCAGCTAAGACTACCTAGCCTTCCAGTTCATCAATATAAAGTTCAAATTAATTTCCACAAATCACCTTCAACGTCATTACTAGTCAGGAATACATACACTTTGTCTATTCTTAATTACATAAAACAAATTCTAAACAATCAAAACCTTTTCTCAAAAATGTATTTCGGCCCTGGCATTGAAGGCGAAGATAAAATGGAATTGTGGTATGGGAGAATTTGGTCTGAATCACCTTTGTTTAGCGATGATACATTGAGAATCGCATCTCCAAGTATATAGTGTATTTTGCAATTACATTTCAATTATACAGTAATTTGTATTACTTAATAAATTATATTTATGTATTTAGGTCAACCTGCAATAACATATTGAACTGGCAATTTTATTTCCTACGTAGATCAGCAAAACTGCTTGCAAATTGGTTTTTTGCGAGCATTTGTTCAAGTAAAAGAGAATCTAAAAGTAAAAGTGCAACAGCTCTGGAAGTATTCTATGATACCAGCACATTTACACTCAGCAGAAAGATCTTTTAAATCGCAATGTGGATACTTATGGTTAGCTGATGAACAATTTGCGATAATACCAACTAGATGGATTCAAAATCAAGTGAAGGTTTGGCTCATGGATCAACCTGAACCTAATGAGTATGAATATTTTGTGGATGAAATAGTGTATCAAAATAATAATCGATCATAGAAGGTTCATTCAATACAATATCGGCACCGGCATCCATCTGAAACTATGGATTTACCTCCTATATCATCCGGTTTTCAATGTTTACGAATCTTTATTGACTTATATTATAACGATTTTGGGACCTTCAGAAATGTTTACTACTCACTTGGTGGTGTTTATATTCAGTTTGGGAACCTACTATTTTATTTGCGAAAGCTATTGAAAAACCATTTTCTTATAGGTTTTATACCTTTCGGCGCTAACTTTGAGGCCTTTATAAAACCATTCATAGCAGATATGCACCAACTACAAAATGGTGTTCAAATGATAATGCAATCAAATTATACATTGTATTTTTCTTATATAAATCAATTATTTTTTATATTTATTTATATTTCATTTTACTTTATTTTTTCTTTTATTTTATTTTTTTTTTAAAAAAAAAGAGTATGTATAATGGAGAAAAGGTTTATATCAGAGGTGGTTTGGGAGTAGTTACAGCTGATTTGCCCCAAGGCAATGACCTTTGTGGGGTCAAACGTCATAATACTAACCGTGGTTGTAGAAGTTGCAAAGCTAATACATATGAATTAGCTGACCTCAACTATGATAATATACGATATTCTTGCTATCACCACATCACAGATATTCAATTTTCTGAAATACGATCACAAAGGAATGTCTCAAACAAGATGAAAGTTGCTGCAGAATACAGCTTATGCTTAAAAAAAAATATTTTAGACTTGTTACATCGTGATCGACATTAGCAATGCTCTCAAGATCTCTACCACACAATGGCAGGAAAGGTGAAAAAATTATTGGAGTGTATGATTACTCTTTTTAATGATGAAGGTGTCAATACTTTTTTAAAAATGTGGAAGTCAATTGAATTACCAAAGCCTTGGTCAAAATTGCCTAATCCTATTACGCACCAGAAAAGTTTCATGATGTCAGATTTGTTTCGCCTTGCAATGTTAATGCCTCACATTTTAAATCGCTTCTTAACAATTAAACATATTAAAGAGAATGCACTTAACGACTTTGGAAAACAATAAAATATAACCATCGTGTTCAAGTGATTAATTTAATCATAAAGTGTTGGGTGTCTCTTTCACTTTCCATAAAGCAGTCATTTGCTATCTCATTCCTAAAAGATGATAATTTCGAAACACTAAAACGAACATTGAAAAAAGAGTGTGATTATTTAACTAAGGTAATTATGGGTTTAGTAGACATCCAAAATCTCGCCAGACAATAATACTGATATCACACAATGTGGCAATTAATTAGTAATCACATTAACAATCATTGTCAGGCTTTAAATTTTTAATTATCACGTAGCGTGATGTAAGTATTATGGCTGTCAAAATTTTGAATGTCAGGATTACCTACTAGACCCTGGTAATTATATGTATATTGTCTTTTTACGAATTTTATATATATTGTCTTTTTATGAATTTTTTAATATTATAACTACCTTTGGATTTTTCCAGAAACCTTTCTTCATCGTCTGAATCTTCACATTAATGTGCATCTAATTGCAAATGCCAAATACTATGGAACTTTAGTCAATACAGCATGTGGTGTTAAGGAGTCTATGCATGGATTATTTAAAGAGTTTGTTCCACATACCAACAAAAAGAATATCAACCTTGATCTTTTAAGACATTACAATACACTTCAGGCATTACGTTTTTGGCTTGACGGTGGAAAAGATGAACGTGTTTCAGATTTAAATTTTTATGCGAATTACTCTTTGCCAAGACCATTGCTTTCTGGATGGTATATTACAAAATCGCTTGATCTAATTGACGATTTAGAAGTTGATGAAATAAATGGTAAGTTCAAACTGTTTAATACTAAGTCGTATTCAAAGAATTTATATAAGTTGATTTTAGGATTAACTTCATTATGTCAAATAATAATTTCTATTTTGTATTAATATCTTTACAAAGATGAAATTTCTTGCAACGCTCATCGTTTTATAAAAATTCATACTCGAAAACTCTGGCGAAACAAAGAGATTCGGGAAAGAAGTTTCAGTGGTTGGAATCTTGACAAAGACAATTGTGGTCTTGGCTCAGACCTTTATAAAGCTTATTGTGAAAAATTTCAAATGTTTGCTGTACCAAAACATATAAGGTTTTATTTTTTGATTATATAAGTTATTTTGTGAAAAATGACAATTTCTTAGCAGAACATCATGAAGCAAAATTTCATATTAAAATTAAAGTTGGTGATATAGTTGAGATAAAGGAGAACAGTAATTCAGATAATAAATCATTTGCAATGGTCAAGGCAATTGTCACACATCGAGCAAATGATGGCAAAGTTTATGCTTTTTTTATTTTTAGCTGGTTTAAAGATCTAAAAAGAACGCATCCAATTCTACAATGTGCACAATTTCAGTTACGACGTGACAATTTTCAACAGCGATGTATTTTCACTATCTCTATAGTGGATTATCAACAGCAATGTCACTTTTTTCACGATTGTAAACAGTCTTGTAATAGTGATCAGCATGACCAAAATAACCGAAATTATCTGCGTAATGATTTTTATTTCAAGGTCGTTTAGACAATGAAGTTTATTTTATATACTATACAAGGTAATATAACTAATCCATGTAACTGGCAAATGGCTTATCCCTTAAACCGTCCAGATTAGCAGACAAATTTGTCCACTAAAATTTTATAAATTCATATTTGATCTACTTTTATCAAAAATTAAAATATTTTAATAAACTTTTTTTTAACTAAA